AAATAGGGTGAATACATCTCATTACAATGATTTACTGGTAGTCTCGAAACCCTACTTTCTTACGAATAGATTTAATTTACCTTCCTAATCCTAAGTATGTAGTAATCAACTATCCTAGTTTGTCAATACCGTTAAAACGTGCTGAGGACTCAAGAGTGACTTAAGTTTAGACTTGTTGGCCACTAGTTATGAATAAATTCGCAAGATATATTGAGTCACATACATTTATTTTAATTTATACCTTTAACAAATAGGCTAAAAGATCAGAATAATACTATTATGGGAAAGAAAAGATTATCTGTAAATAAACATTTAGAATAGCAAAATATATCTTAAAACTAGTGTTCTATAACTTTTAAATTAAGAAAATTTGACTCCTTACAAACAACAATAATAATTTGTATATGCCAGGCCCTATATGGAATAAGGAAATAAGTAAAACTAACAAAACAATTAACAATTCAAGAAATCCAGAAAAAATCGAATTATGTAGCCTATTTTTGGCTATCACTTAAGATTAAATAAAACATTTAACTTCACCTAAAATAGTATGTCTCTATGCCAGAAAATTTAACGTTTGATGAATAGGGTTAGGAAAGCTCAAGCTTAATGAATTTATTTAAGTTATCTTAAATGTTGAAACTCTTTATCATAGTATCGCATAAAACATGAATCAAAAACTAATAACTTTTCAGACAAGCGAATTATGGCAGTTAGATATAGGCGTTACATGCTGACAATATTTGTTTATTATTATGCGTATTAAAATAGAGTGCAGTGTCTAAAGACAATGACAAGTTTAAAGTAATGAAAAAAAAGAACTGCATCACTTCGTGCATTCCTATGGCCAAATCTTTGGAATTAGTTGGACTTTGATTATGTAATTTGTTCGTGTCTTCAGGGGACATAGCTGGACCAAACTTATCTGATATCCTTTGCCATAGTAATGATTATCATCTTAAGCTACTAGCAATGGACTTGGTGAATTCACATACATTTTGCGGGTTGCAGAATCGGCATTGTCATTGATTCTTGCCAGTCTTGCAACAAACTACAACTTGTCAAAATAGGCATGTGTAACCTTTCTTCTGGCGAACTTTATGCTCAACGATTACGGTATTACTGCATTTGTCCTGGCCCATCTAAATAATCCTAATCCTTGTATTTTATTCCCTTCTTATATCAACTTCTAACATGATTATACTGGGCTAATCCATAGGTGTGCCCTTTTGAGCTAGTTTAGTTAGGTGTTATCACACCTGCTGGCTTACTTTATTCCACCCCTTGCTATTTCGGAATCGCTAATATTACTTGCATTGTTGGGTCTGCAAACGCCTATTCAAATGTCCCTTGTACCTTCGAAGCTCGCTTTCTTCTCTTACTGTTGGACTAAATTCCCTTGGTTCTAGGCGCTGTACACATTTTAGTTAAGGTGCTATCATTCATTGTCTCGAACTTATGCTGCCTTATATTCCCATGTCTAAGCAATTTCTTATCATACCTCTTAGGTATCATGTCCGAAATCCCTTGCTATTTTTTGTCTCCGGAACTTTGAAAATAAACCGGAATTAGAGCCCCTCCTTGAGCCTTCAGGAGCTTTGGCTTACAAATGATTAATCATTTCAGTATCAATGGTTTCCCTCTATTTCTGAACAGAGCTATGATAAATATTCTCATTAGCCTTGTCCAAATGATAATTTCTCATGAGTTTACACAATCTAGGAATGATACAAAAAGTTCATGGTGGTCTAAAAAGATCAGATAGCAGATTTAACTCAGAATTATCTTCATTGCAATGCATTGTCGGATCACCGATTCAGAGGTACTATGAGGAAGAGCAAAGCAAGCCAGCATAATGTATAATAATACCTTATTAAGTTTGCTCAAAAGGACACACCTCTGGATTAGCCAATTATAATTAAATTATAAGTTGAAATAGGAATTAAAATAGAAGGATCGGCTGTGTTTTGACCTCGCCAAAATCTATTTAGCACGATCAACGAGTTTTAAAGCCCAGTATTGCATATTAGGCCATTAATGCTTACTCTACGATACTGCTCTGCATGTCATTGACAGTTGGCGCGGTTTTACGGGGAGTTTACTTTTGTAAGTCGAACTTCAAAATGTATTATATTTTATTAATGATAGCATATTTCAATACACCATACATTTTGCCTTTACTATCTAAAATAATTCCACAAATATAGATACATATTTGGATATATAGAATTTATGTTCCTGTTTATTCAAAGTTCATTGAATTATTCTTTTTTGGCTAATTAAGGATGCTAATTCCAGAGGATTTTACTAATGTTGAAATAATATGATATCAAAAAAATAGCTAATGTTTTGATCTTACTGTAAATTGTTTTATATACATATTAGACGAGCTTATGAATGCAAAAGCCTTTATATATATATAATTTGGCACTTATTTATTTATCGCCCTTATATTTTTAGACTACTTAATTTTTTACAAATTGTTAACAGTTTATATTCGAAAACTTAAAATAAAGTGGGATACAAGAGATCTGACCTGAAAAAAATTGATTATATGGAAGACCTATGCATTCAGTGCACTCAGACATGCATTAGCATTTAATGAAGTGATGTGGTTCATATGAAGGGAAGCGAGACTAAGTGTAACGTAGTGTGGCAACGTGGATGGCATAGCGACCAGATATTGGACAACGATACAATTAGATAATACGGCATTGATTCAAAATCTGTCAGGTATAAATCCCTTTACTCACCTGGGGCAAATGTAGTCCTGTCAATGCGGGTTTAACTAGACAAATTGTGAAGGGCTTTGTATGAGTTTTGACGCTACGTGGATGTAGTCCTTATCATGAGGAGGCACGACTGACTTTACTGTGATGAATTTTCAGAGGCATTACATCGAGAAGACAGAAGGGAAAGGTTGCACTGAGATATGACACGCATTGCCGTACCCGTTTAGAACTCACTCCGAAGGATATTGTGATGTAGAGTAGACCGATCAAGCCAGAAGTTCTTCCCATTTTGCGGATGCAAGGGTCTGCCTTTGAGTGGTACTGAACAGGTCTATCGGCTTCGTCTGAGAGGGTGGTGTATGGCGGATTTAATTCCAGCTTCATGTCCAATTAGAGAATATGTGGATGGTCTGCATTCAGGATTCCAGAAAATCTAGCACATTAAAACTTAGGTGGGTATTGCTAATGAGTGTTTTTGTGCGATAGGATTTAAATTGTTGAAATAGACCTACTGCTTGAATTGGAACATTGGATCTCCAATCTCGATATCAAGCGGTGGTGCAAAGGAAACCTAGAAGTAATAAGTTAATTAAAGTTTATTCGTCTCATAAAGGAGTTAAATTGATGTAGGAAGAAGGAGCTAAGCTACGTCATTGACCCGAGCTTTGCAAAAGTGATGCCCGGTATCGTTTCGCATTTGATTTAGTCATTAGCTTCATGCTGTAAACTGTTCAGCATGAATATATAATTTCGGACGAATCCGAATTTATATTCACTGTACACATTATACTTGCAATGCTGATGATCTAATGAGCTAAATAGATGATTAAGGTGACTCCAGACCTTTAAAGATTCCTTATTGGTGGTCACATTCCACTCGTCCAAATTTTTGCCCTTTTGTGGCAAATTTAGTATGGTCACAGGTCCTATCCGGATCTCGCTCATGGTGCTGTAGATCCGTTCCTCAACTTTCTGGTTAACCGATTTCACTCGGTTCAAGTCACAGTGTGCATTTCACTCCAGACGCTATTCCTCAAGGCCCTCGAAGCACGTACACTACCGTCTCACCGAGCAAAGTGCCTATGCTCTGATTTCCTTGCTCATAGTCCTTCATCACCTCAAACGAAATTGAGTAAATTCATCTCACAGATATCAGACATTGCCTTAATGGGTCGTCTGCTTGAATGAACCTGTGATACCTGAGCAAACTGTGAGCGCCTAACTATGGTCGCATGCGGCATCTCAAGTGGATTTCTATACATTTTGGCCATAATGCCTTATTTCTATGACGGTTTGCTTAACCGTCTGCCCAGCTTCCTGACTGCCAGGCCCTCAAAGTTGTACTAGTTTATTCGAAACGAACATCAATCGCTGAGAGCATCTTCGCTCGATTGCAAAAAACCCCCACCCCACTTTCCTCATCGCGATCCCTTTTCCTCCGGTTAGCGATAGATCATTGATCCAAGCGTCTCCTTTTTTCTGGTCTTGCTCAGTCCATGTTTTCCCCAAAATTGCTAAGGCAGTAAGCAAAGTTATCACTGACTCTACCTTCCTCCAATCTCCTCTTCATTAAATTTTTCTCCCCAAGCATCTCAATGACCTCACTTATCTTCCGCTTCCTTGTGTTGTCACCCTAAGGAGCTCTTTTTTCTGTTGCCTTCCAATTGATCTCGTGTCTAGTCTTTGCGATGTGTCCGCCAATTCTGATCTTTCAATATCCATTTTCCTGCAGAGTCTTGGATGTTCCTTGATTGATATGCTTATTGTTCTCCCTGTTTCGTCAATATATTTCTGCTTGCCTACGCCGCATGATCTACTCCTAAACAATCCAATTTTTCTACCCTTTCATGTTACGTCGGTAGACTTGTGAAAAGTTTTGATTTCTCTTTCATGGCCACCCGAATATTCCATTTCCTCAATATTGGTCGTCGTTTTTGAGTTAGTTTGCGGGAAGCTAGGCATATCTACTTTTGTGAATCCCTCTTCGTCCTTACTGCTCTTTCGTAGTCCTCGTTCTGTCCTCAACCTTTCGTGGCTTGTAGGTTTCTTTATATTACTTCGAATGGGAAACCGTTGTCAAAGAATATCCTATTCAATTTGTCTAACTTTTCGTCTCAGAAGGCTTCAGATGATCAATCTCCCTATTAGTTCTGTGATTGTGATGGAACTGGAAATTGAATATTGTCCCACCATAAGCTTGGACACGAGATCATTCGGAAGACAATTAAAAAAGGGCCTCATGCGGTAAAACACAAGAAAGCTGAAGATTAGGGAGACCATTGACATGCTTAGGAAAATAATCTAATGAACAGGAGATTGGAGGAAGGCAGATTTAGCCATAACTTTGTCTATGACTTGAGCTAACTCGGGAAAAACAAGAATACAACCAGACCAGCAAAAAGGAAACGCCTGGACCAAAGATATATAGTTAACCGGATAAAAGGGTATTGCGATGATAAAAATTGGGGAAGAAATTTCATAAATCAAGCTAAAACATTCTCCATGAGGGAAGTCTGTTCAAAGAAACCAGTACAAGCTATAGAGACGGATAAGTGTAGTCTTTACAGGAATTCGGTGTTGTTGCCAAAATATACTAGCAATCCGCTTTGGATGCCGCATGCTACCAGAGATAGGCGTCCTTAGTTTGCTCAGTTAACACAGGCGTAGTCAAGGGGACGACCAGTAAAGGCAATGCCTGCTATCTGTGAGCACGGGAATCACAGCCTAGGCGCTCTGCTCGGTGATGCAACAATGTACTTTCTTCTAGGGCCTTGAGAGATGAAACTGAAACGTAGACTGGGGCTGGAACCGAGTGAAATCGGTCAACCAGAAAGATAAGAAACTGATCTAGGCAACAATGAGGGAGATCCAAGTAGGACGCCCGAGTCGGAGTAACCCATCGAGAGACGGGGATCCAGTTTAAATTCCAGGTGTAATGAGACCACACTGAATTTGCCAAAAGAGCACGCATTTGGACTAGTGGAATGTGACCAATTTAGAAGTTGTGTTTGGGCGGAATTCGGATCAGTGGCTAAAGAGTTGATAGATGGGCCAGGACAGAAATAGGATTGATTATGTAACCGTTTTCGGCAAAGCGTTCGTCGAAGGTTCGGCTTCACTTGTCTCTTTCACGAGTTCGTAGCTTGGTGTAGAGAATGAAAAGACTCACTGAGGATGCCGACTATTATCCCGGCGAAGCTTCAGATAATGTGCCAAGTCCACGGTCTGATGCTGGGAATTGTGATACCTACCATGGAAGAGAACTTTTGAGATGTTGCGTTCTACTAAATCGCCCTGACAAAAAGGCAACGTTGTGGAAACTAGGTCAATCGACTTCTATAAATCTAAAGGTTACTGTGATCATTTCTGGTCCACAATATCTTGGCTTTCCTATCTAACATTATTGAATTTGCCAAGAATTGATCCTGACCTATTTAGCAACAATTTATTGATTAATGTGAAACTATCGCCATCACTAACTCATTCATTTCATCTGGTTGGATCTCTTAAAATATATCATAATTCCCCCTGGCAAAGGAATAAATTATAGTGCGTGAATACGTAGCAAATTTAACAAAGTTATTGACAAACAAGTTCCAAAACTGCTACTTAACGCCAAGTCTGACAACAGAAGCGGTTAATTATTAGGTATACGATAAATCTAGGACCTCTTATTGTTTCTGGATATGAGCCTAAAATCGTACCCGAAATAAGGCTTAGGCGAAGGTTTCCACTTGAAAACTCAGCCACCATAAGGATTCTAAATCGAAATATTTTTCTAGGATTCAATTGTTATAAATCTTTATTTTTCATGGGAATCAGTAGGTAGCACTAAGAATATAATCAAGTCCTGATGTTAAGATTTTGGGGCAAAACTCAAGGATTAACATTTCACACTTTAATAGTATTTCTTTTCCTGTAACCCAACAGTTCCTTGTATACTATGTTTTTATATTAAGTAAACAAACTTCATATAATTAAACCTCACGTGTAATGAAAAGTTGGATAAAAAATTATAAATTAGCCTCACTGAACAGTGAAGGAAGACTGCCTGCGCGTTATGACTGTCGATTTAAGTGCAGCAGTCCTCAACGCACTGTCTACCTAACCCGATTTAATCCGTATTGAGCTTTTATCTGTCATGTAACAGAAATTGCTTGAGCAAAAAATCATTCTTTGCTAAAAATAATCAAACCATTAGGCATGAATGGTAAGCAGCTGAATTCATATCTGGTTCGCATAACCTGACGTTGTGGAGATACTAAAACGTCCTATGGCTTCATGGTTACTGCATGCTTTGTCCGACAAGTTTGTAAATACATGCAGTGTATGCGAACTTGGCTGGACTTAAGTCTTATAAAACAAGCCCCATTTGGCTTTATTAGATAATGCTTATTTATTAAATAAAACATTACCATCCTGATAAGACTCCAGATACATCATGCCTCTTCAAATTAAGTGGATAATTGTCCTTTTTCTATAATTTAGATCTTTTCATCAGCCAGGTTAGTTTTGTGCTCAGCCTTCTAAAGCCTATATTTATTAGGGTTTATTTATTTAGAAGATTGTGTATCTTGTTACTGTCCTTGTAAGTGTATCAATTACTGTTGCTTGATCTCTGTCATATCGTTAAAGTCCTCATATCCTATATAACGATGGATTAACGACTATCTGGTGTCGTGTATTAATCATTTATCCAATGATTTCTGATTCCTAAGTCGCTTGCAGGAGGTTGGGATTTAGGACAACTCATTCTTTAATATTTGGCAGGTTTAGCCACACATATGCTCTAAGATTAGCATACAACCGAAAATTCTTTCAAGTAAGGCATAAGCAAGTCGAAAATTTTTCCCTCATACTTACTTCAAACGCTCCACTTAATCACTAATTCGCTTATCTTTTCTAAAGCTGGCAATATAGCAAAATCAGAAGAGAGTAAAGATTTAAAACTATCTTTATATCCCGACTCAGTTTATTTCCCTTATCCCACTTAGTATTATCGTTAAATTACGATCAATCAATCGAATTGGACAATTTTTTCGAGTAAATATTCCCAGTATCCCTCCTTTTTACTGGTTACCGTGCTTATGCCTTTAAGCTACACCTGAAATTGCCTCGTGAATGAGGCAAATATCCAGTCAATACACGTAGTTATTGGATTTATTTGGAGCTAAATTTGATCCCTTAGATCAACCGCGCAGTTTTTATATACTTTAGTAATAGTGGTAATACATAAAGTATTATTAATACATTTGTAAATATCGGTATGTATATTAATGCCAACATTCCAGCGTAATCTCCGAGTGTTGACACAATGGTAATTCTAGTTATAGTTTTGCCTTGCTAAAGTGAGTAAATAATTAACATATTTAGCACATTATGAC